ATAAACCCCACACTTTTCCTTCAACGACTAATCAGCACAATCTGCTACAAGCTAGATCACAGTCCAAGCAAGCATAGCCATCTGCCATGGTCTCATAGTATCAAGCCTATGCCAATGCCTCATCCTCTACAGATTTTCACAGGGGCAGCGGGAGACTCTTAACCGACAATTCCTACTCAAGGCATGGGCCTTTCCTGCTCTGCTCCCCAGCATGCCAAGCGCTGCCCCCGGCTTGCTCAGGAACCACTCTCGCCTACTCACAAGAAAGTAGGTCTTTGGCATAAATGCTAAATGGGGAACAAGACAAGCTTCATAAGCAAAAAGGAGGCATTACGAAAAAATACATACATTGGGAGTGAAATACGTTCCCCAAACACAACAGCTGTAAACTAGACCCAAGCACAGAAGTGTTTGATCTGCTCCCACATAGTCTCCAAGGTGGCAAGGTTCTGCTTATAGCCAGCAATCCCTAGGGCAGGATTTGCCCCTCCCCGTGCACGACAGTTATCTGCTCTAAAAACAGCTTTCCAAACTTGATTGACTGGAACCTCTGCTACATGGTGAGCAGGGCTAGTTCAGACATGTTTCAGAAGATGTAAGGAGATGACTATGTTCTTAAGTTACTTTTTAAGATGGTGACAAGTTATATGTCGGAACAAATACAACAGTGATGTTTCTGGGAAGAACAATGGTAAAGACAGAGAGGATTTTTTTCTGTGCTAAAGAAAATAAGCCAATAGAGATTTTTGTAATCTCTTTTTTTTTTTTTTTTTGGTAGACATACCCCAAGCCCAGAACCTAGTACGTAGCTCTGCAAGAGACTTCTTCCATCAGCCTAAGAGTGGGGCCAGTGCTCTGTTCACATCCTCCTTCCCTCCTACTCCCCCCTCAATTCTTGACGCCAACTCTCAAGAGGAGCAGGACAATCCAGATCAGCGTATTTTTCTAGGTCCATTTTCAGAGCAACTTTTACCCACTGGGGACCACTACATAGCTTAAATATATCTTCTGTCTGTATGGTTCCTGGTCCTGCCTTTTCTAGTTCTCAGTTCAAGTATCTCTTTTCCCAGCTTCAATCCACCATATTTAACCATTTATGCTTCATTTATGGTATTAAACTACATGTAGACAGTGCTAATCAATCTCTGGGACTCCTAGCCAAAAACAAGGACTCCAGCATTTCCTAGAAAAATACTTAAAACGAAAATTACAGAACAATACTAGCCCAGCTCCAAAGCAGAGCCTGCTCCACACTAGCCACCGCTTTCTAGGATAAAAATTTGTCTGGCAACTGATTCAAGGAACAGTAACAAAGAAACAGAAATAGCGCAAGTTGGGGTAGGGGTTCAAAGTTTCCCTACCCCTCAGAACTGTGTATTCACAGAGAGCAAACAGGATCACAAACTCGAAGGTTGTATTCACCACCTACCTCCGAGTCTGCTAGGTCCACACCGAACAGCCCTTTCACTCTACGCAGCACGACCGGCTGACTGTTATCCATGTTCACAGGAGTTTTAGCTGTTGCCCAACGCCATAAACAGTGCATTGTTATTACTATAATCTCTTTCAGAACTAAAGGATTTTACAAGCAGTCATTATTCTTGTTTTAAATATAGGTTTTCAAAGAAAGAAAGGAGCACAACAACAAGACAGCAATTATAACAGCAAGAGCTTTCAAGCTTCACAATGTCTAGAGCAAGTCACCAAGCAAAAATAGTCTTCACTCTGGACTAGAGGAGTCAGCAGATATTCTAAATTAGAGCCGGTGCTCTATTTCTGACAGGAGAGCCTGGGAGCTTCTGTGCTTCCCTGCATGGCAGCTTTATTTGGGAGAGGAGCGGGGGGGAGAGAGGGGAGGGGAAGAGACTGAGAGAAAAACAGCATTGTTTCTCCAACCTCTGAGCTCAAAAACTGCTTGCAATTAGGCTGTTTTTCAAAGGTGTTATGTCACAGATTAGCACAGTCTTGAAATACTCCCTCCAGCAACACTAGAAATGCAAAGGGAATCGGAACCATTTAAAAAAGTAAAAAACCATGAACAAGCAGTGGGCCACAGGAGAGCCCTTCACCTGCACACACCTCCTGCATTGTACCTGCTGTTTCTATTCAGACCTCGGAGGTGGACAGGGAAGGGCTGTGTTGCAGCTCTTCTCTGAGACTCTCCAGGTACTTGGCAACTTCTCCAATTAGTTTCAGAGCCTAAAAGTCTCAAGAAGAGAGGTCTATGTTTGTGGGGTTTTCTTTCTCCCTGTAGCACATTTTGGAAGCATTAAGAAGGAAACCCAGTATGACTATTTCAGTTTTACAGTGAGCTAACAGTATCTTAGAGATGGCGAGTCATTCCCCCGTGTATCTTGTACACCAGCCACAGAACCAGGTATTTCCCCGTTTTCATTGTCTGACCTACACAGCCATCTCTTTACAGGCTCCCTAACCACCTCTCTCCCCAGTCATGTCACAGGCAATGTGCATAAAGCTAAGGGAAACCATTGTATATTTCTTAATAACTAACCTATTAAAGCTCCTTCTGTCAGTGATTTCCATTTTGAAAGCATTCAGCTGAATTGCGGTTCACCCGCGGTATAAAATCTCAGCGACAGCAGGAATGATCCCATGATACCTGTAACACTTCTGAAAGACAACTCATCACAGACAAACATCTCCCCTGCACTGTCTGCTGATGTCCATGCCACAAACACCAACAGTGGCTCCATTGCTATTTTCTAAGCAGTGAAATAAAAAAAAAAAAACCTGACTGCAAGAACAGAGCAATGGTTTATTAGCCCAACTATTTCCATTTCCCCCAGATTACAGCCTGTTTCAGCATGCCTACTCAAAAATAATTTTGATGACCCAATGGGTGTTGCAGTTCTCCTGTCCAGCTAATATAAATGCTACAGAAGCTGTCTGCAGCTGCATGAAATGGATATAGAACTTTTAAAAAATAACCATACATTTGGAGTCACAGAGGAATTTAAATGCTTTGTGCACCTCTCATATTTCTGTCCCAGGGAACAGAAGGAACATGGTTCATTACACTGGTCAGTGCCTGGGAGAGGGTAGCAAGAGAGCACTAATAAAAATAATAAACAGCTGGAATATGTTCTCTTCCTGCCTTAGACCAAAACCGAACTTGTTCGCCCACTTCAGTGACCACACAAACGGAAGGGCAGTCTCAACACTGTTTGCTCCCTGAATTAGCAGGATGTGGCAGATTTGAACTGTCCACCTCCCTCCCCCTTCTTCCACCCCTCCTCTTCACCCCTTCCCTTCCCCCAGCTCTGCAGGCATCACAAAGGATTTTAAAAAGAGCTACAAAGAAATTCTTTTAGGCTCAGGCAATTCCAGTAACCTTAGAAACCAACAATAGTTGTGAGCCTGGCAGTTTAGCCACAGCAACAGGCTGCTTTTCTGTTCTCTCATTGTCACTGCTGCACCTTTAGCTGTACTACCCAAAACTGCGCTGGGCTGGAAGGCAATATGCAACATCACATTCAAAATAAATAGCAGTAAATAAAAGGAACAACTCGGTCCTGAACTCAGCCTATTTCACCAGAGTCTCCTCAGTTACATCAGGACCAAGCTGGAATAACTTCCATGAAAATTCGCTGAATTTTTCACTCAGGCAGATCCCTGCTGAAGTCAAAGAAAATTTTTGCTTGTGTAAGGATCAAAGGCAACTGAATAAGAACACTGTGATCTGGCCTGCAGAGCCAAAAATGGGAAAAAGAATGGAAAAAGTCTTTTCTGCTTTGCTTAGCCATCAGTGGACTGAGCTCTACTTATATTGCCATTAATGTTACACTGAACTCAACTGTCCCCAGTGCAGAACAGCATGGGGAAGCCACGCATGGTCCAGTCCCAAGGGAGCAATCTGATGTCAGTGCCCTGCAGTCCTGGAGTTCCCAGTAACCACATTTCAGGCTCCTCTTACAAAAAAAAAAAAAGTGTTAGACAGGAGCTGGGGGCCTTGGCTTATCCGGCCATTTCTGATTCCAGCAGAAGTGTCAGTGCAGTAAAGAGGTTTCCAGTAATTTGCACGTTAAGAATTAAACTGTAAAGATCAGAAGGAACCATGGGCTGCAAGCATGAACAGCTGATGCCGGCTGCCACACAGACCACCACAGGAGAGTTATTAATTCTATTCTTTTACTCTGGTGCAATGCTCTTTGGTATCAGTTTGAACCAGAGACTTTACTCATGGGGTGGAGGTGTGGGAGGGGGATGGGGGTAAAAAAAATGAAAAAAAACTCTCTTCTGAGCAAAGACTCCCACCCAGTCAAAATCCAGGTCAAAATCCACCTGCCCATTATTGGGTTGCAGTCCACTTGATTTTGTAGTCCGAGTGATATGTGAGGCTACACAGTTTCAAAACCATCAGTCTGGGACAAACTTGTAAACTCTGACCCCTTTTGCTAGTCTAAGTTTAGAGGGACACAGGGCTATTGGTTATTTTTGGATCTTCACTAATTTATAATTGTGGCATGTATGCTTTTAGAAATAAGAAAACTCTAGGCTGTCGCAACTCAACATTTTTGTCCATTTGTTGGATATGTCAGTGCACAAAATTGTAACTCTTGGTCCTTTTTTGGCTAGTACTGGATACAGAATATAGCATGGTACAGTGTTATCATTATCTAGAAGTTAGTGAGTGATTAAGTTATGGCATCATTCTCAGCCCTAGCAGGCAGAAGGATGGAGGTTCTGGTAATGCACAACCTTTTTCGCACACTGAGCAATAGGCGTGAGGCATTGCTTCAAATGCTGTGATGAGAAGGAAGAAGGACAAAGGGAAGGGAGCATTTCAGTGCTCCTGTTGGGTGATCGCTGCTTCTGGGAGGAAGGAAGCACCCCTTCCACCAAAGGTCCTCCCTCTGTGTACCCATGTACTCCCACCTTGCCTGAAAGTAAGTTCAGGAAACTAACCGAAAGCCAGCAGGCAGCTGGAAATGTCTTGAAAGGGTGGGAAGGTTTTGTGCTGAGGGTTGTCTTCCCCTTACCTGTACAACTTCTTTCCTCACATTGACAATGTCTAACCAGTCATTGAATCTTGGGTAGCTGTTGAGCTCTGCTGTCCTGTCATTCAGGGGCACACTCAGCTTACACTGCCGTTGTCTGTGGATGTAGTCAATCAGTTTCACCTGTTGGGATCCAGAAAGTAAACAGTTAAGTTCCTTGGGATATGTTGTCATCCTCCTGGGCAATGCTTGTACAGTACCTAGCCAAAGGGCATGCTGGTTTGCGAGCGGGGCTCTTTCATGATATAAAAATGACATACTCTTACAAGCACTCGGGGAAATTCATACAGAGAAGCACTTCTCTCACGCCGAGCATCTTTATTCTTTAACATTTCAGCAGAAAGCAGGACCTTGCGGGGCCCATCCCTGCAGGACTCTTCTCTAAACCCCTATCAACAAAAGTTCTGTGCAGAGGCTGGGCGTCATGTCAAAATATGAAAGGGCGTCCAAACCATTTGAAACAATTAATTACATTCAGTTTAAAGGCACTGCACATGTACATGCAACTTAATTCCGGATGCTGCGGGTATTGCTAGTCTAACTTACAGGACTATCTGCCCTCTCATCCATTGCTCCTGTATGTTTATTACGTTCTCTTACATCGGGATTCATTTGGGCTAGAAGACCAGTGAGGCAGGAATAGCCAAAGTACCCAAAGGCTCTGATGCCAGTTATGTGATGAGCATTCCTATTACAAAATCAACATTAAAAACAATGATCTTAAAAGAACAAAAATTCAGGCAGTTAGACTAGATGATCATTGTACGTCTTCTATTTTATTCTAAAGTTTTATTCCAAAGCTTTTGTCACCTGACCATCTCATGCCACATGCACTACACAGAAACCTTCACTTCAGACACAGAAAAATAAAACAGCAAGAAGGAATATTATTTGTGCCTTATGTTTGCTTATCAAAAAGAAAATAGTCTCAAAAGATTTCTCACTATGTCACACATTCCCATGGGGCAGACTTAAGCTTCAAAACCTTCCTAACAAAACAATGCCTCAAAGCAAGTTAGCTGATCCGTGGTTTATAAACTAGAACATGTTCTTGGTCAACAAATTTTAGTATTCAGGACAAGATTAGGCTACAAATGAAAAGGAAAAAACAAACATGGATTCTTTTACCACTATAATATCTCTCCTCTGAAGCTTCTGCTCAAAGTATTTTTGGTCTATGTATCTGAATGATGCTATACATGACTTGTATGCACAATCTCAGTTATACAAGGGAAAG